TTCCAGAAGGGGAAGTTTGTATAATTTTTCATCTTAAGTTATTTAAGTTATTGAATAGTTTGCCACCTTAAAATACCAAATAACAATTTAATGAATTGTTTTCTGAACATACCACTTCGTTTGTATGAAGCTTACCTGAATCCTGTCTACCGATTTGTAAATATATCTATTTCCCCCCATTATTTATGTATCATATCTTTTAAAGCCAGTTTTTTGTTTTTGACATTATTTTCTTATTTCATTTCCTTCGCTTTTTTCCCTTTGATCTGCACATACCCACAGCATTCCTCTTGTTCCCACAGGCACCCAGTCAGTCAGAACCAGAGCCAGAGAAGGCTCCATTGTGCCATGCGCCTCTGCCCCCTCCTTCAGCATTTGCAGAAATGAGCGGTGATCATGCCCAGTCATCTGCAAGCAGGGACTCAGAAGAAGGGGACAAAGAGGATGAGTTTGGTTACAGCTGGAGTAAGTTGTCTTTTTGTAATGCATTTAATTGTCAGAGGTATTAAAATAGCTCTGCGTTTCTCAAGGCCGATGCCCTGGATGAATAAGGATGTTTCAGCTTTAGTTATAAATACTGCAGTTTTGTGTAGGGGACAAAAAAACACTGTTTGTTTTTGCTTGAATACAGCATGCATTCCCAAGGCATGAAATCATTTTCTTCCGTTCCTTCTGGTCCGCATTCCTGTGAAAGCCCACTTTGCCATTTTTATGAGAACTAAAGAGGGCGGGGCAGTCTCTCAGAAGCTGGTACTGGGCCAGCTTTCTTGTGGTCTTGAACAAGTCATCTCCCCTCTCTAGGTCTCAGAGTCTTCCCATTGTTGATAGTATGCCTTGAATTTTGGTGTTTTCACTACGAGGGTGGTAATACAGTATAATTGTTGAGATAATAACTTTGGGCATTTGGCAGTTGTTTAACCACCTCTAAGCATTAGCTTAGTGGTTTGTCCCTCTTTTTAAAATACAGCGTTTAGCCCTAGCCGGTTTGGCTCGGTGGATAGAGTGTCAGCCTGCGGACTGAAGGGTCCCAGGTTCGATTCCGGTCAAGGGCAAGTACCTTGGTTGCGGGCACATTCCCAGTAAGGGGTGTGCAGGAGGCAGCTGATCGATGTTTCTCATCGATGTTTCTAACTCTCTATCTCTCTCTCCCTTCCTCTCTGTAAAAAATCAATAAAATATATTTTTAAAAAATAAAAATAAATAAAATACAGCGTTTACCTCCAGTTGCTAACATTAAATTAGATAATGTCTGAGGAATGCTGACCACAATTCCTGATGCGCAAGAAGCATGGAAAGGCAGCTGTTGCTAGGATCATGGCTGTGTCTCTTGTTTCCTAAGGAGATAAACCATTTCATAGGGTAATATTAAAAATTCAGCCAAAAGTTATACCTGTGTCAGTACTTTAAAAAGTTTCATTTAAAATATATAATTATTTCCTTTAAGAAAAATGGCATGCTTTTCAGAAGCTAAGAATGTAAAAGGTGTGTTGCTAGACTTTAGGATTCAGGAAATGGCAGTTTGTGAAATTGATCCAATTAAGAATCAATATAGAATACATGTCATCCGCCATGTAGTAACATTTTCTAAAGTTTACAGTTCTCAGTCTATTTTTAATGAAATTAGAGTATATTACTAATCCACCAGAATATACTCTGAGGAAAACATTAAATGGAATATTTCAGTTACCTATTGTCATGTCACAAGCTACCCACAACTTCATGGCTTAAGAAAGCAGTTTCTTACTGATGTGTCAGGGAGCTGTGGTTGAGTGGATTCCCTGGGACAGGGCCTCGAGCATGGCTCCCTCACAGCCTGACAATTAGTGCTGCTACTGGCTGATTCCTCCACTGCGCCCGTGGCTGGGACCCCACACTTGGCCTTGCCTTCTCAGTTTAAAGAATAAATTCTAACTATTGAACATGTGGGATGGGAGATATGGATGGTCTAATCTACTTAGGACAAGTGTCCGAAAGCTGGGACAGGTACATTGAATTCTCCTGACCTGATGGCTCTGTGCAATAATGAACCCGTTCCCTTTTGTCTGGATATATGGAGCAAGCAACTGTGCAACATGATGTGACACGCAGTGTAGATTTTCCTGTGGGAGAAAAGCTTCCACTGACCAATCAAGATGAATACTCCTGCCCTGGATGGGTAGCTCAGTTGGTTAGAGCCTTGTCCCAGTAACCAAGGTTGCGGGTTCGATCTCTGGTCAGGGCACATGAAGCAAACCAAAGAATGCATACATAAGTGCAACAACAAATCTCTCTTCCTCTCTCTTTCTAAAAATCAATAAAAATATAAATTAAAAATAAATAGCCTGGCCAGCATGGCTCAGTGATTGAGCGTCAACCTATGAACCAAGAGGTCATAGTTCAAATCCTCGTCAGGGCACATGCCTGGATGGGGCGTGCAGGAGGCAGCCAATCAATGATTCTCTCTCATTGATGTTTCTATCTCTCTCTCCCTCTTCCTTCTCAGAAATCAGTAAAAAATGTATATATTTTTTAAAAGATGAATACTCAGTGTTCTGTTCTCCTTTGAAAATGATAAATTAAATTTCTGTTTTAATCACAAGCTGAGAGTTTGTTAATGTGACCACTCTTGGACCTGATCATGCAGGTACGCTGGTTAACCAGACATTATACTCTCTGCACCCTGAATGCAAAGAAATTCCTTAAAGTTTGGGTAGTCCTAGAAACCCAGGTGGCCACTCTACCTTGGTTTTCTTAACTGCCAAGCATATTTTGGTACAAACAATGCCCTTTTGAGGCTATTCTAAGTAGCATTTGACTATGAATTAACTCTCAATACCTATACTCTTACTGTTGTTATATGCAGAAAATATCAGAGAACGTTATGGGACTCTGGCCGGCGAGCTGCATATGATTGAACTGGAGAAAGGTCGGAGTGGTTTGGGGCTAAGTCTTGCTGGGAACAAAGATCGATCCAGGATGAGTGTCTTTATAGTGGGGATTGATCCCAACGGAGCAGCTGGGAAAGATGGTCGGTTGCAGATTGCAGATGAGCTTCTAGAGGTAATTTCTTGTGGAAAATGCTGAATTTACTTTTGCAGAATCGGTGCAGAGGAATCATTAGTTTCTAGAAAATTCACCTGGGCCTCATAGAGTGATGGAAAACTACCGCTTGCCTAATAAAATAGATGCATTACAGCAAATTTGGCACTAAAGCAAATCTCTACTAAGTAGTGTCCATGTTCCCATTAACTTCCATTGAAAGGTCATGACAATGTAGCACCAGAAACAATTTTTGCCCCAAGACAGTAATAAAGATTACACTTCAAAAACTTTTTTGTGTGTGTGCTGCATTTTTATTAAGAGCTTTTGAAAAGCCAGATGACCAGTCACTCCCCATGATGAGATTGGCTCACTGGACATTCTGAAAGTTGTATCCCTAATAGTACAAGTGACAGATGTTGGGTGCATTGGGGTCAAGGTTAAGTCTAAATAACTAAAACAGTAACTCAGCCCTCCAAACAAAATAAACTTGTGGACCATGCTTTATAGTTTTAGAACTGTATCTGCTTGCTTTGTTTGCCCTTGCCTCCTGTAGGCTGGGATCCACTTTTTTGTATTGCCTGAATGCTCTTCTCGTACTTGTGTATTTCTCTATTGGTTAGAAAGGCTCAGTCAGCAATGGCTAAATGACTAGAACAGCAGTCACCAACCGGTGGTCCATGGACCACTGGTGGTCCGTGAGGTTCGAAAGGTTGGCGACCGCTGGTGTAAGCAAACCTTTGGAGCAGTGGTTGCCAACCGGTGGTCTGTGGACCACTGGTGATCCATGAGGTCCGAAAGGTTGGCAACCACTGAACTAGAAGACCAGCAGTTTTCATCAGGTGCTGTGCTGCATAGACACAATGTACTGCCACATCCTGGTTCTGTCAGCATGGCTTCTCCCAGTGGCCCATGCCCAAGCCTTGAGTTTTGAAACTAATTAGAAAATATGACAGTATAGGGCTTCTCTGTGTAGGTCACACGTGCTCCCACAGAGCCCCTGCTTTGTACAAAGCGCACTGAGGCCCAGTGCCTGCCAGGGAACTCACTGTTTGCTCTCCTTCAGTCAGTCCAAGTGCTGCTCTCAGCTCTTGGAGCTCAGGCATATACACCATTTATGTGCTCTAATGAGCTTTTCTTTATTCACCCATCAAAGTCAGGTCCATGTTCTGTAAAGGATATATATATGGCCTAATGCACGAAATTCATGCAAAGGCCTTGGCCCAAGCCACCACCCGCAGCCACCATGGCTGGGAGCCTCTAGTGCGGCCCCCGCCCGCTGCGGCTTTGTCCAGAAGGAAGGATGTCTAGTCTAATTAGTATATTACCCTTTTATTATATAAATATATATGAAATATTATTTTAAAATAACAAAAACATATTTCATTAGCTAAATAGGATGATAAAAATTTACAAAATTAAAATTCCAGGCTCAATTAATGATATTTATTTCCCATAGATCAATGGGCAAATTTTATATGGACGAAGTCATCAGAATGCTTCCTCAATCATTAAATGTGCCCCTTCTAAAGTGAAAATAATTTTCATCAGGTGAGCATTTTCTTTTTCTGGTTTACTAAATAATGTTCGTTAGCCTTTCAATTCTGTTATTTTTGAATGAAAATAAAGCATTTATAAATGTTTTAGTGTTGCAGTTCCAGGTCTTTGGGGTTACAGAATTTTCTGTAATAATCCTTCTGAATCTTAAAATAAAATGTTGAAATAATATGAAGTATTATGATGTGATAGGTCAATGCATTTCCTTTTAGGAATAAAGATGCAGTGAGTCAGATGGCTGTGTGTCCTGGAAATACAGTGGAATCTTTGCCTTCTACCTCAGAGAACCTTCAAAATAAGGAGGTATGTAACTCATGTTTGTTTCTCTGGAAGATTTGATTGGTATGCCACTTCTTAATTCAAACAATTATAGAACCCTTACAAGGCTGTCAAAGATAAATAAGTCATAGCCTTGGCCTCCATGGAGGGTATAGCCCTGTACAAGAAGCACTCGAGTAGGCAAGCTCACCACTAACATGAAGGCTATTAGTAGAGTTCACATAGGGAATAATGAAGGCACTAGAAGAGGAGGTGCCAATTCCACCTCTAGGGAGAGAGAATACGATTTTATAGAGGAGATTATGTGTAGGTTGGAAGTAGAAGACTTGGGGGCACAAAGAAGCAGAGAGTTGAGGAATGGTGTGGAAGATCCGGCAAATACAGACAATTAAAAATTGCAGAGCATACTGAACAGGGTGAGGCAGGGAATGGGGAGCTGGTGAGGCAGAGTCACTGGCAAGGGAAGGAGATGGGTCAGATCATAGGAATATGATGAAGACTTTGTCTTGGAGGCCATGTTGGGAACTCAAAGAATCAGAACTGTAATTTTTGAAGACATCTCTGGAAATGGTGCAGAGCAGAGAAAAATCAGAAGTTGCTGGGAAGAAAAGTGAAGTAAAGGGTAATAAGAAAATTATCAGAGTAGTTCAGGAGAAAGATAATAAGGTCCTAAGTAATGTAAAAAAAACAATAAAATAAAAAATGGAAGTGGTGACATCAGATGTTTAGGACCCAAATTGACATTACTTTATCCCCAACTAAATGTACTCATTAAGGAAAAATGAGTGGTTGAGAATTTATTTATCCAGCAAATATTTATTGCGTGTCTGCCTGATTGTATCAGGTACTGTTCTTTGGGCAGGGAATAGACTGGCGGGGGAAACAGGTAAGATGTACAGGGCTTCCAGATGTCTGACTTGATGACTTGATGGATGGGTGACTTTTATCAAAATATATAAATAAATAAAAAGAGAATAAATATTTATAAAACTAGAAGACATGTATATAGGCAGCCTAAGAGTGAAGTATAGTTTACATTGGACATTTGGTCTAGAGGTTAGAGATGAATTCTCTTAGATGCAGATTTGGTGTGAAAGCTGAGGCACTTAACTACAGAGAACATTTAGAGAGAACAGGGCAAAGGTCAGGATTATGTAATAACAATCAGAAAGAAGGCTGATACATATGGCCAGAGTTGATGAAGTAGAGCCAGGCGGACGTGCTGCATAACAGCTGATGAGACCACATTTCAAGAAGAATGGGCCCTGACCAGTGTGGCTCAGTTAGTTGGGCATTGTCCTGTGCACTACAAGGTTGCTGGTTCAATTCCAGATCAGGGCGCACATGTCCCCCGTTTGCAAGCTCCTAGTACATGAGGCAGCTGATGTTGCGCTCTCACATGAATGTTTCTTTTTCTTTTCTCTCTCTCTAAAAATCAATTTAAAAATATTTTTAAAAAACCATGGATCATCTTTGTCCCTTATAGTTAAAGCTGATATATCTATCTATCTATCCTATATAATAAAGAGATAATATGCAAATTAACCCTCATGCCCTCACAAGATGGCTGCCTACAACCAGGCTGGCAGGGGGGTTAGTGAGGGACGACCAAATGACTGAACAAGCAGGCTGTGTGGGACAACCAGGCCGGCAGAGGGGTTAGTGAGGGACAACCAAATGACTGAACAGCAGGCCGCATGGGGCGACCAGGCTGGCGGGTGAGCCGTGAGGGGTGACCAGGCCAGCAGGGGGGGGCAGCTGGGGGTGACCAGGTAGGCAGGCAGGTGAGCAATTAGGAGCCAGTGGTCCAGGATTGTGAGAGGGATGTCTGACTGCCAGTTTAGACCCAAAACTGGCAGTCGGACATCCCCCGAGGGGTCCCAGATTGGAGAGAGTACAGGCTGGGCTGAGGGGACTGCCCCACCCCTGTGCACGAATTTCGTGCACCAGGCCTGTAGTATATATATAACAGCCTAATATGCCAAGTGCCCAACTAATAGGTCGACCGTTTGGACAACTGCTCGACCAGTCACTATGATGCGCACTGACCACCAGGGGGGCAGATGCTCCAATTGGTAGGTTAGCTTTCTATTGAGGTCCTGCTGATGGGGACTGAACGAGACGGGCCAGACACACCTGGAGGCCCCCCCCCCCCACATTCCCTGCAGGCTGGCCTGCCAGCCCCAATCAGCCCCAATCGGGACTGGGCAAGACAGGCTGGACACTCCCTGGTTCCTCCCTCGGTCCCTCCCTGGCCTCTAAAATATATTTTCTAATTAATTTCCTTTCAGTGTATACAAATTCCTGCACTGAGCCTCTAGTATATAAATAACAACCCACACAGACATTAAAAAAAAAATAGAAGGGTATATTCTACAACCTTGAATACTGCAAAGAGGTAAGAAAATGAATAAAGACTGTTCATTGGAGTTGGCAATTAGGAGATCATTAGTGATTTCTGAGAAAGCAAATAATGGGTAAGAAGTTAGAACAAAGAAGGCAGTGGCTAGAAGGTGACAAAAAAAGAGTTTTTGGTGGAAGTTCTGTTTTTATTTGGAAAAGCTTTGGCTACATGTTTCAGATGAATAGAAGGAAGTAATAGAAAAAAGAGAGAGAAAATTAGAGGAGCCATGAGGGTCATCAGTGAGAAAAGGAAACACTATTCCCTCAATAAACATATAAACATTGGGCTTTATCTATACACTAGAGGCCTGGTGCATGAAATTCGTGCACTTGGGTGGGGGGTCCTCAGCCCAGCCTGTGCCCTCTTGCAGTCTAGGAGCACTTGGGGGATGTCCGACTGATGTCTTAGGCCCACTCCCAGTGTGGGAGCCTGGCTTCTGGCTGAGCAACGCTCCCCCTGTGGGAGCACACTGACCACCAGGGGGCAGCTCCTGCATTGAGAATATGCCCCCTGGTGGTCAGTGCGCATCATAGCAACCGGTTCCACCATTCAGTCGATTTGCATATTAGCCTTTTATTATATAGGATTATTATATAGGATAAGATAAACGAACTATTGTCTCCTTCTGGCGAACTGAATCACGTGGTTTTCCATGATTATAAGCGAGAACATTT